TGCAGGTGTACTTGTAATCACAAAAGGCAAGCACTATAATGGGTGTTACACCTACCTTTAGCAAATGGCTGCGGTTTCTGATCTGATTTCTTTGGAGATTTCTTTGGAGATGACTGTTCACTCCGCCATATTAATTTAGAAAAAGAACTTATTGTGGAAAATGTTGCAGGTACAACTTTAGACAAGATAGCTCCTACCAAAGACCCGCCTTTGTTCTCAGAAAGTCTTCCAAAGGATCAAAGAATAACAGTTAATATAATATTATATCACTACAGCTACAAAAAAGACTTCATAGAGAAAATCAGAGTGCATATGGATAAAGAAATAGCATAAATTATAGCAAATAGCCCACCAAGTACCTGTATGCTGAAATCACAGCATCCTCTCCAACAGCCACTGCACAATAATAACGATGACTTGACTGCCCAACAATAAAAGCAGCTGAATTCAAATACCAGAAATAATTTCAGAATGCTCCCATTATCTATGGTTCAAACAAAACCACAATCATTAACACAATAACTCGTGGAAGGACAAAGTGAATGGAGAAACACATACTTAGCACGCTTCTGGTTTCAGGTAATATAAGATTTCCGTAGTTAAAAGGAATTTAACCAATGAGTAAGTTTTTTGCTAAAAGGCAAAAGGAAATTTTAAAAGCCTACTAACACCTGAACAGGTATACAATTAAATTAAAGAAACTAAAAAATGTGCTTTGCAAATACTATTAAGATGGTAAGAGATACTAAGAGATTTGATGATAATTTCCCCCAATTACTTTTCCGTATTTCTATTGTTTGGATTTCAAGAAATGAAATTCAAATGAATGTCATTACCATGGCAGACAAAACACAAACATTTAAAAGAATTTACCTGTTGTTCCATAAGCGGAGGTGGCATTATGCCAGTAATTGCTGCATCAGCACAAGTACCATACTTGCCAATATTCCACAACTGGTAAGGTATTTTTACATCAGTATTTGCAAAATCTTCTGAATCTTGGCTCTTTGGGTTTTGATCCCAAAATCGAGAGTGTGCTTCTTCAAACCATTTCTGCAGCATATTCTGCATTTCAACATTGCAAAGACTACAATTAGAATCATAATTAGCTACCACAGTCCAAAATTCAGTCTGTAACATTGACTCGCTGTTTCATTACTAATATAATACAGTATTCGAATACCCAACATGAAAAAAAAAATTACATTTATATCCATGGATATTTCAGTGAAGCTATAGTAGTCAAGATACAGAAACCAGTGTTTACCTGAATATCGGAGCTATCAAAACGGGCAATTACACCTGGCATAATTAGACAAAACTCTTCTGAGGATGTATCTTGAATCAAATCTTTCTTTGTCCCACGAACTCTTAACTTTAAAATTGGTCCAGGATAAATCATCTACAAGGAAGCAAATTAATATAAAACCTACATAATTAACATAATGCCAAAAAAAGGACAAATATGTATGTAGACTTTTATATTATCTGATTTATATACCATACCTATTTGCCAGTCTTAAATTTGCACCCATTTTAATTATATTTTAAACTTCATTTTTTCTTTTGCTTGTATTGTTGATCTTCAAAATACCTATATTTCAAGCAATAAATATTTTAGAAAATGCGAAAAAAGTAGAAAACAGAGTTTTTGAAACAAAAAAATATAATTTTTTTCTCTCTTGACGACATTTCTCTATTTTAAAACAACTTTTGCTCTCTTCACTCACTCACCTATCCCTCTCCTAATAGGTTCAAAAATCATTCATAATACTTATCACAAAAAATCATTTACATCATACAAAATAGCATTACTAAAATACTTTTTTACTTTTACAAGGAGGGGGATGCGTGAAGTGAAGGCAGATTGACCCCAAGTCCTTGTAAATTGTAATAATCTCCAGAGGACTTATTATTCAAGTTAACTAGCACATTCATTTTCGGAAAATCAACTGTTGAAATTGTAACTAACTTCAGATTTTTCTTTTTTTGTATAAATTTAACTTCAGAGTTAATCACACACATATATGATTTTATCACACTTCACAACCATTAACTTTCCAATCAACTGCTATCATATTCTATACACTTTAGAAAAATACTAGCGACACTCTTACCACTTTTTTTTTTTATAACACACAATTTATTATTGATTGAAAGTTAGTGAGAATCACAAATTATGCAGATCTCACATCTCATTTAACGAGTCTTTCTCCTAATTTAGTAGTCGGACCTACCAAAGTTTGTTGGAATTTTCCAAAAATAATAAAGAGTATTAACAAAAGAGTGTTGCTAGCATTTCTCTGACACTTTATCCTCTAGATATACTTATTTCATAAGAATCAAATCCATATTTCATACGGCAAACTTTAGAAGATAAAAAATAGTTACAACCATTGATTATTGATTGCAAAATCAGTCGATGAGATTTGTGCAAATTGCAAGCTCATATACAACAACTTACGAAATTGTTAAAATCTCAGCCACTACCCCTCGCTCTATCCTGATCCAAACAAACTCGTCAATCCAACCAAATACACACATTTTCCAAGTCTCTCAAATTGCACCAATTCTTAAAAGAATAAATTTGAACCTAACTCAACCCTAAAACCTGCTTGTAAATTGAAAATTGCTTCCTATTTGCATACACCAGTAAATACCCGGTAAGCCCAACAACAATAATTAGGAAGACTCTATGGAGAATTACCTCCTTCACCATACCATGCACCCATCACATGTGTTCTGAAACACCCATTCCAGAATAATAATGATGAGTACAAATATAACAAGCAGAGTGCAGGAAGCATTTGCTTTGCCCCGCACTCTCTTTTCATCTTAAGAAAGTAGCTTCTAAAGTAAGAATAGCCCTAATTCATATATTACATTTAGGCCATATCATTGATCAATTCCAACACAATTTCCCCTAAACATCTTCACAGAACAAACAAAATGGCTAATCCAAAAGGAGTTGCGGAGGGAAGGGATTTGGAAGGACAACATTACCTGCCTGTGAATCAAATCGCCGCGGAGGGAGTAGAGGAGGAGGAAGCCGGAGGAGGTGCCGGCGACGATGACGCGGGGGGGG